TCCCACCAGGATGATAATGGACTGAACCTCTGAACTGTAAGTGAGCCCCAATTAAATGTTTTCCTTTGTAAGACTTACCATGGTCATGTTGTCTCTTCACAGCAATAGAAACTAAGACATACATTTATAAATTACATTAATTTATAATCACATTTAATCATTTAATCACATTTTTAGTGCGTGCGTGTGTGCGTGCATGCGTGTGTGTATAAGGGCATTGTGCCCATGTGCCACAGTTCATATTCTAGTCTGAAGACAAGTTGCAGGACAGCTTCTACCATATGGGTCCAGGGGATCCTATCGAGGCACATTTTTTGTTTTTGTTTCAAGGCAGGATTTCTCTGTGTAGCCTTGGTTGTCCTGAACTCACTTGTAGACCAGGCTGGTCTTGAACTCAGAGATCTGCTTGCCTCTTCCTCTTGAGCGCTGGAATTAAGGGCATGTGCCACCACCACCAGGCTTTTAGCAGTCACTTTACCTGCAGACAGTCATCTCTTGGGGCTGAAATTCAGTGTTCACTGAAGTATGTGGTTCTCAGTGCCTAACTCTGTTATTTTATGTTAATTTAATTTAATATACTTAATCTCATACTCAAAAGCTTAACTCTATTGAAAGATAGCCTTCTTTCAGAATTTGGATAATCTACCATCTTGGAACCCACTATTGGACTTCTAAAATAATTTGCTTTAAGACTAGAGAACGTGGCACATGCCTTTAATCCTAGCACTCAGGAGGCAGGGCCAGGCAGATCTCTGTGAGTTTGAGGCCAGCCTGGTCTACAGAGTGAGTTCTAGGATAGACAGGGCTACACAGAGAAACCTTGTCTTTTTTTTTTAATAATTTATTAATTTTATTTGATGTGCATTGGTGTTTTGCCTGCATGCATGTCTGTGTGAGGGTGTCAGGTCCCCTGGAACTGGAATTACAGACAGTTGTTAGCTGCTATGTGGGTGCCGGGAATTGAACCCTTATCCTCAGGAAGAGCAGTCAGTGCTCTTAACTGCTGAGCCATCTCTCCAAGAAACTTTGTCTTGAAACACCAAAATGATGATGATGATGATGATGATTTATTTTAACTTATGCATATGTGCATAGGTTTGTGGGTGTGTGTGCAGGTACCCACAGACAGCCAGGATCTGGAGTTAGAGGCAGTTGTGGGATGCCTACGGCCACTGGGAACTCAACTTGGGCCATCCAGAAAAGCAGAAAGTGCGCTTAGCTGGTGAACGTCTCTTCAGCGCTCTGGACTGTTTTCAGTTGATTACTCACGGCAATGGCAGGCAGTTCCTGAACTCCCCTTCTGCCGGTTAGTATTTGGGAGTATTAGTTGTGTTTTTATATTTTCTGAGACAGTGTTTTATTGTTTAACCATAGCTGGCCTCACACTTTTGATTCTCCTGCCTCAGCCTCCTGAAGCTGCTCAGTTCATGTTGGTAGAGTTCTGCTTTTTCCCCCCGTTTTAAGAGTGGAAGGAGTTCTCCTCCAATTGGTGCTCCATTCCATGTACACACTAGGAGTACTGAGAGCGGACATGCCGTAGCCTGCTTATTCCTATCAGTAAAGACACTAACACAGAGGATTTACCAGTTGTTTCCCGGGGACGGGCCTGGGCAGCCCTGGGCTGACCTCTTTTTTTTTTTTTTTTTTAAATATTTATTTATTTATTTATTTATTATGTATACAACATTCTGCCTGCATGTATTCCTGCAGGCCAGGAGAGGGCACCAGATCTCATTATAGATGGCAGTGAGCCATCATGTGGTTGCTGGGAATTGAACTCAGGACCTCTGGAAGAGCAGTCAGTGTTCTTCACTTCTAAGCCATCTCTCCACCGGGCTGACCTCTTACTGAGCAATGCTGCCTCCCCTTCCGGAGTCCTGGGTTACATGGGTGCTCCATCAGCAGGACCTTCCTCTTGACACTCATTCTTCCGAGTGCCACTAGGACCCTTGGCTTTGCCACTGATGCTCAGCTGTCCTCAGTGGGAATCCCCTGCCCTGGCTTCTTGCCGTGAGGCAGCAACTGGGTGTTCAGGATCCATCCTGATTTCCTAACGCTTTTTCACGTCCCAAGGCACAGACAACAAGTAAGGAGTCCTGTCTCCTTTTCATGTGGCATCAGGACAGTTTCTGTGGTGTGTGCGTGCCCTTGTGTGTTACCTTGTCAAACTGACCAGCTTGTGCTGTCTTTAAAAATCTTACATTTGTAGCCGGACAGTGGCCGAGCATGCCTTTAATCCCAGCACTTGGGAGGCAGAGCCAGGCGGATCTGTGAGTTCAAGGCCAGCCTGGTCTACAGAGCCAGTTCCAGGATGACCAGAGCTAACACAAAGAAACCCTGTCTTGGGAAACAGCAAAAACAACCACCAAAATAAAAGTCTTCCGTTTATTTATTGGGGCGGGGGTGGAGGTGAGAGCATCCCAAGTGCCTGTGACGGTGAAGTTCTCTCCTTCCACTTTGTGGGTCCCAGGGATTCAGCTGAGATGCTAAGGCCTGCTGGCGAGCACCCACCTTTACCCACTGAGCCGTCTTGTTGGTTCTTGTGGGGTTTTGAGATGGGTGTCTCCTGTATCCCAGCCCAGTTTCCAGCTCTCCAGCCTCCCACTCACTGTGTAGACCTTGCATGTCTGATCCTCCTAACCTCTACCTCCCCAGTACTGGGATCACAGGTGTGCGCCCTGCCTCCTGTGTGTGGTGCTGGAGATCAAATCCCAGGTCTCGTGCATGCCAGGCAAGCGCTCAGCCAGCTAAGCCACATGCCCAGCCCTTACGGAATTTAGAATCAAACTGTAAACACATCTCCAGGTGTGCCTATTGTGGGAGCCCACAGAGGTGTCCTAGTGAGACCCGAGCTTGCTTTACCCAGCAGGGCTGCAGAAGGGCATGGACTGACCACGTGCCTGGTTACCAGGTGTCTGGAAGGGTCTGCACTTGGCTGAACTAGGGGGAGGTCTTTGCCCCACCCCTTGGCAGTCCTTTAAAAAGCCCTTTAGAAGAGACGGAAGGGGCTGGTGAATAAGGATTCAGCCCCTCCTGGGGCTATCCTGTGTTTTCTGTCTCTCTCTCCCCTCTATATTTCTATCTAAATCTCCAATCCCTCACTCCTCAAGCAAGCGTACCCTGGGGGAAAAGGTGGGGACAGGTCTCTCACAGCCTATAAAACAGTTTAGTAGAGACTCACTCTGAATGTGGAAGGTGCTATCCCTTGGGGTCCCAGACTGAGACTTTTTGAGTTTCTCTGTGTAGCCCTGCTGGGCTGTCCTGGAACTCACTCTGTAGAGCAGAGATCCGCCTGCCTCTGCCTCCCGAGTGCTGGGATTAAAGGCGTGCGCCACCGCCTGACCTACATATTCAACAAGGTGATGGTCGTGTGAGGTTAGTGGTTTTCGTTGAATATTTGAAAAAGGAAAACAAAACTTAACCACCACCACTAACACTTCTAGCACCATCGTTACACCCCAACAAGACATGTTTATGGATTCACATGAGTTGGCTTCATTATAAAAAACACGGGGCAGTGATGGTTTCAGGGAGTTTTAATATAGAAGACCCCAACTGTCTGACCAAAGTATCTGAGGTCCTCATTTATGACCAACAAGATGCAGAGTGCATCACCTTTTCAAGACTTTTTTGTCTGTGCACCATCACTATTACTGATCACATAGGAAAGACGGGGACACCTGACACTCTTATAGTAAAAAACCCCAGATTTATTGGTGAACTGTAACCAAGAGTTAATTTTAAAAGGCTGGGCTCAGTCAGTAGTAGCTCCTTGTGCTTTGAAGAGTAAAGCTATCTGCCAGTAAAACATGAAGTGTAACAGTACTTGGGAATTTGACCCCAAACTGAGAGGTGGCACACCTTTAATCCCAGCAACCGGAGGGTGAGACACACAGATGCGTTCAAGGCCAGCCTGGTCTACAGAGTTCCAGGACAGCTAGGGCTACACAGAGAAACCCTGTCTCTAAACACACACACACACACAAACCCACAAGGCTTTTCTTAAGCATTTCCTGTTATTTCAACATTGACACTGACACTTGCCAGACTGGGCCACAGCTGTTTGAGGGTCAGGCCTGTTATTTGCTTTGCAGGGGTCTTGGACCTGCCCACATCTAACTACTTGGAGCTCTCTGCCAGTGTAAACACCATTGATTTTCCCTTTTGATGGCAGGGTGACTGTACAGCAGGGTTCCTTTCTCTAGGTTACTCATTTTCCAAGTAGATCTAAGTACATTTCCACAGCAAACTAGATACTGGACCAGTGTTGGCTCCCCGTTTCCATTTCTGATTCATTCTGATTCTGGAAATTTCCATCCTTTGTTCAAATAAACCGTTTGTGAAAACTACCAGTTTTTGTTCTCACAGAATGGCCAGAGTTGGAAACTGAGGTACTATCCCGCTTCATCTGCATCCTGGCATCTTTTAACTCTAGCCATCTTTTTTTTTTTTTTCACACTAAAGAATGTAGCTTTCACCGTTTGGGATATTTGTAAAGTTGGGGTTGGGGATTCAATCCAGGGCCTCACATTACCTATTCATTTGGGTAGATCCCTGCTAATTCTGGACTCAATTAAGTTAATAGGTGCTTGCTTAGCCAGGTGGTGACCTAGAATCAACCATTACAGAGAAACCCTGTCTCAGGAAAAATTAAAAAATGATATGGGCATGCAAGCACCAAAGCCAAAGGACAATTTGGAGTCTGGGTCCCAGGGCCTGAATCCAGCTCAATTGTGTAGACTGGCTGGCTACCCAGCTGCAGGAATCTCTCTACCTCAGCACTGGGGATCAAATTCTGGTACCCTTGCCAGCATAGCAAACACCCGAACAGGTCAGTTCCCAGATTCAAGTACCATGTTCCCCTCTGAGGGCAGGTAGGTCTTAATACTCCCCAAACTGGTTAGACCAATCAATCAGGGATACAGACTATATGTGGTGATTCAACTGTCCTCTTCAACTGGCTTTCACTTCTTCCATCGTTAAGACAACGACACAACCAGGAACTTTAAACAAAATTTTATTACACAAAAGTTGTCACATAATTGGATACTTCTCTACTTTGTACACAATTATTCTTACTCTCCACAGAAAGGCTGCTTCTGAACTTCTCATCTGGTGACACAGAGCTACAATCCTGACTGTAACAGAATAGTAGAAATGCCTCAGTGATTTAAGTTGAAAGCAGGACACTGGTATATGGCTCTTGCACCCAGTATCGGGAATGTACAAATGTCTTTATTCAAAAATACAAAATAAATTATCTGTAGGCATGGACAATGACAGCAGTAAACCATTATAGATCATCAATGGAAACCAGTAACCAATGGTCAGAGTGATCAGCCAACCTTCTCTCTCTTCAGTCACTTTCTTCAGGTGACTTCTCCGAAGTTAGCGGTGAGGAACCTGCCTTGAGCTTCCTGTCACAGTTCATTGATTAGGGCAAAGCACTATTCTAGCAGTTAGAACATACCACCTCCCATACCCCCTCCCATTCCACCCATGGCGCCCATTCCAGGGTCCTTCTCTTCCTTAGGAATTTCGGTCACTACAGCTTCTGCTCTAGTTAGCAAGGAGGCCACCCCAGCAGCATCCAGTAAAGCAGTTCTCACAACCTAGAAAAAATTTTTGTAAAGTGATTAGCTAATGAAAATTACACACCACAGGGCAAGTCATCTGTTTAAGAAATGCTGAATGATTTACCTTTGTTGGATCAATGATTCCCTTTTCCACCATGTTAACAAAATCCCCGAGCATAGCATCATAACCAACTTCTGAGGAACTCTGCATAATTTTCTCAACTATCAAAGATCCTTCAACACCTGCATTCTTGGCAATAGTCATCGCAGGAATTTTGAGTGCTCTTTTAATAATTTCTATACCTACAAAGCAAACACATTTTCACAAATTTATTTTGGTTTTTCCTTTTTGGGGTGTCCCAGATCACTCAATGGTGAAGAGCACTGGCTGCCCTTTCTAAGGACCTGATTTGATCCTTAGCACCCAATGTAGTGGCTCACCACAGTCTTAATTATTTAAGTCCAGTTCCAGGGGATCTGATGCCCTCTTCTGGCTTCTGAGAGTACTACACACATAGCACACAAGACATGCAGGCAAAATACCCACACACACAAATTAAAATAGGAACACAAAAAAGCCCAGTCTGTGTGAGGACTCATCCAATCCTACCACAGATAAGAGAATTACCCCTAAAAAATGTGGTCCATTATTATCTCTCTGGGCACCAACAATACTACTTTTCAACAGAAAGAAATCATGCCACAACTCATCGGAAGATAACTTTTACCTATTTTCTGATCGTCATTAGAAGGCTTCAAGGAATCCAAGGCCGGGATGCACCGAAGCAGAGCGCAGCCCCCTCCTAGAACGATGCCTTCTTCAACAGCTGCTCGTGTGGCATTGAGAGCATCTGTAACTCTGTCTTTCTTCTCATTCACTTCAACATCACTCGTTCCTCCAACCTAAAGAGGGAAAGAACTCTGTTAGCAAGATCTTTCCCACTATGACCCCCGGAAGTCACTTAGAAGGCAAGCCTGAGCTGGGTATGGTGGCAGTTAGGACCCCAGCAGGCTAAGGCAGGTGGGTTACCCTAACTAAGGCCAGCCTGGGCTAAAGAGCTCAAAACAAAAACAACAAAATAGGCAATTCTAGAATAAGAGGTTATGTGTTCAGTGACTAGCCCTCTGTGATAAAGTGTCACAGTAAGGCTGCCTCTTCTGATGAACGTATCCCACTACAAAACATCCTTTCCACAATTTCCCACAGCACAAGCTGAACTGTAGTTTAAGAAAAGGATGCTGGCCAGGGGGGATGGCGCACGCCTTTAATCCCAGCACTTAGGAGGCAGAGGCAGGCGGATCTCACAGAGTGAGTTCCAGGGCAGCCAGGGCAACACAGAGAAGCAGCATCCAAGGCTGGGAAATGTGGTGGTGGCACTAACTACACAGGACAAGGAACAGTCTCCATCTCAAGCTTCATACTGGTCAGGGACAGACATCTATTTTAGACTCAGGCTCTGGGATATAGCCCCAGTGGGTCAAAGGGCTCACAAGACGACCTGAGTTTAATCCTTGAAAATTATAGCCAACCGCTGATAGCTGCTCCTGACGGCTACATGTGCCCGACGGAAAGTGTGCTGGCCCAAGCACACACGCACAGCTGCAGATTTCAGGAATGAAGGTACTTGCTTGTTACTATTGGTAAATACCCCAGAATCAAAATCACTAGGCTCAGAGCCTGGATGGTCACTAGCCGCCAAGATCACAGCTTTACCTTCAACACAGCTACTCCATCGGAGAGCTTAGCCAGCCGCTCGTTCAGCTTCTCCTTTTCATATTCACTGGTCGTGATGTCCAGCTGCTCCGTGATTTCTTGAATGCGTTTCTCAATTTGAGCCTTGTCATCTTTTCCTTTCAAAAGCATGGCGTCATCTTTGGTGACAATGACCTCTCCAACTTTTCCTAAGTCATGAGCTTGGACATCTTCACGGTTTAGATTCAGCCCCTCTTCTCCAAATACCGCGCCACCAGTGGCAATAGCCATGTCCTTCAGCTGGTTCTTCCTGTTGTCCCCAAACCCTGGGGCTTTGACTGCCACAACCTGGAGACCAACTTTGAGCCTGCGAAGAACATGTAACTGTGAGATTTAAACTGAAGGGGCAGGTGGGATATAGTGAGCAGTAAATGTCTAGCTTGGCTCCCGGTAAGTTCTGGCGCCCCTGAACTACTCAGGAGCCCTACTCCTTCCCCAGCAACTTCTGGTCTGAAGAACGATGATATGGGGCCCTCATCTAATAAATTTGTTCCAAGCCAACCACCTACGTCCTTAAGTTGCAGACAGACAGCTGTAGTGTTAAAGGACACATGGATAGTTCCCTCTGGGAAGCTGTGGGAGGCAGAGGCTGAAGGGGTACGTGCATCTGACTCCTAATGCGCAGAGCACTGCTATGTACTACCCTAAGATACACAAGTAGATCAAGCATGGAACTAACTTCAAACAGCAACACAAATCATCTCCCACCTCAAAACATGAACCACCCAACCCACCTGTTCAAAACCAGTGTGCTTAGGGCTTCTCCATCCACATCTTCAGCAATTATGACCAAGGGCTTCCGATGAGCATTAGCAATTTCCAGAGCAGGTACAATGGACTGGACACTAGAAATCTTCTTTTCACTCAGCAGGACATAGGCATCTTGGAATTCACATTTTTGACCTGTAAAACAGTGAGCAGTAAAATAAAACCAAATCCTACCAGTACTGAGAAAACTGTCAATTTACTTTCACAAATAAACTAGTAACTCATGTTTTTCTCATTTACTGAACCATTCACCTTAAAAAAAAAAATTTGTTCATATTTCACCAACCCACTGCCTACAGGTGACAGACACCTTTAAAGTGTATTTTAAGATTCATTTACTGACTTGCTCTTACCTTTTGATGTGTTAATAAAATATGGGGAAATATATCCTCTGTCAAACTTCATGCCTTCAATAATCTCCAATTCATCATTCAGTGTTTTCCCATCCTATGAAGTCCAAGAATTAGATGAATGGATTTAGTGAAGAAACAATACTTGACAGCTAAGTCTAGAGATGGCTGGGGGTTAAGAACACTTGATGCCATTGCTGGTTAGGTTCTAGGCACCCACACGGTGCTTCACAACTGCAGTTCCAGAGATTTTCTTTTGGACTCTGAGGCACCTCTGAGGCACATGGTACATACACGCACGCACGCACGCCTTTAGTCCCCACAACATGGCGAAGGCAGAGGAATGCCATCTCCTGAAGGTCGAGGCCCACTGTTCCAGGCCAGCCAGGGCTACAAAGCCAGGCCCTGCTTCATCCTCCCTCCTGAGCGGACGATTATTTAATTGGACGGATTCATCCTGGGAGGCAAGGCTCCCAATTCAGACAATAGTAAGCACCACACTCAGCACAGAATGAATTGCTGGTCAAGCTTTTTGTTTGGACAACAGTTGACAAACACTTCACTGAAGGTATTAACAAAACACATCAAATCCCACACTTGCCTTCACTGTGATGACGCCCTTTCTTCCAACTTTTTTCATTGCATCAGAAATGATGTTTCCAATGTCTTTGTCTCCATTTGCAGAAATTGTAGCAACCTGAAATAACCAAAATTATTAAATGGTAAGATTGGTATTTTCAATCCTCTTCCCCTTTGACCTTCTAAACTGATATGATACTTCCACCCAGGGGAGAGGGACATTTTACAGCTAACAGTTTTAAGAGAAGTACTGGTTAAATGGAGCGGCATCCTCTGTCCTTCCATTCTTTGGCACAGTAAGAACATACTCAAGGGGCTAGAGAGATGGCTCAGTGTTAAGGTGACTTACTGTTCAGGTCAGTACCCAGCATCACAGTGCCTGGTAACTGTCTTAACATTTACTTCTCTGGGTTCATAATACACGGGCACACACATAAACCCAGGCACGTACATAAAAAACACTTTACTTGCCTACCATGCTTCAAACACTAGGACTGATCCCATACAGGACAAGGAACATTGACCACACCTAAGAACATCTTCACAAATAACACAATCTTTATTTTACAATCATGTTTTTTTTTTTTAAAAGGATCTACTAAGATCCAAATCAGTTGGCTGGGCAGTGGTGGCACACACCTTTGACCCCAGCACTTGGGAGGCAGAGGCAGATAGATCTCTGTGAGTCTGAGGCCAGCCTGGGCTACAGAGTGAGTTCTGGGACAGCCAAAAGGCTACACAAAGAAACTCTGTCTTGAAAAGCCAAAAAAAGATCCAAATTAAATTAGTCACTCAATTCTTTTCAAACAGGCAATCACATCCTTACCTGAGCAATTTCTTCAGGGGTTGTCACGGGTTTAGACTGCTTTTTTAGTTCAGCAATCACAGCATCAACAGCCAACATGACACCTAGTTCAAGAACATGTGTTACTATAATGCCGAGTGCAAACTCAAACGCATTCCCACATTTACATGCAAGCTCTCCTTCAGCACTCTCCCAGTCCCAAGTGACATGGCATGCACTCAACCACCTGCAGTTTCACAATGAAGTTGAAAACCAGAAGCATGTGAAAAGGTGATCAAGATGTGGAGTGGGGGTTCACACCTGAATCCCAATACCCAGGAAGCTTAGGCAGGATTGTTTTTAAGGCCAGCACGGACCATAGGGGGCCAAGCCAGGGAGGGCTACGAGGGACCGCCACTCATTCCTAACAGAAGTGAATGAAGATAATGCAGATAACAGTTTCAAAAACCTTACTGCCTGTGGGCTGGAGAGATGGCTCAGTGGTTAAAGAGTACAGGATGCTCCTCAAAGGGACCGGAGTTCAATTCCTAGCACCCACATGGTAGCTCAAAAAGGTCTGTAATTCCAGTCTCAGGGGATCTGGCATCCTTGCACAGACATACATGCAGGCAAAATATCAATGCCCATAAAAATAATGAAATCTTAGAAATAAAACAAAAAAACCCACTATTCAATTCATTCTCTGTAAGTTAATGCTAATCCAAGCATGTTTCTTGTTTCCAGTATGGCACCCCAGTATATTCACTTTGATGAAATGATGCAAAGGCAGGAGAGGTCACCTCCAGTAAATCTGTGCACACACACCAGCAAATGCAATAAAAAAGGACAAAGATGAGAATTTGCAATTTCTCCCTTCTGTAGGGTCAGTGACCCGGCACTCTCACCTCTCCGGATTTCTACCGGATTGGCCCCTTTGCTGATCTTCTCGAAGCCCTCCTTGGCAATAGACCGCGCCAGAACAGTAGCAGTGGTGGTGCCGTCCCCGGCCTCCTCGTTTGTGTTATTGGCCACATCTTGGACAAGTTTAGCTCCGATATTTTTGTATTTGTCCTTCAAGTCAATTGACTTTGCGACAGTGACCCCATCCTTTGTTACTTTGGGACTTCCCCAACTCTGTTCAATAATCACTGTTCTTCCCTGCAATGACAGAACATAGCACCCCTCAGGGATAAGCCCAAAGTTGTCACAGTCCTGCAACATGAAATCTCAAAAACAGGAGATAAAAACCCTGGCACTAACCGATGCCACCTATAAAACAAGAAAGCACAGGTAACAATCACCAAATCCTGGAACATTCTTCACATCAACTCTACTTGAATTTTGGTATGAACTGTTATTTTTAAAGTATGACTTACTTTAACATTCATTCACTAAACATCAGCCAGTAAGTTAAGAATAGTTTCCTGTTCACTCAATACAGAACTTCAAAAATGGCCCCAACAGTACTGGCCACTTGGATTTGAACCAAGCCATTCTGTCTTGAGCTATATAAACAGCACCGTGTGCAGCTCTTTAGGTAGCTTTAGCATCAACTTAAAATGACCGTGCCCCATAGCCAATGATGTCCACACAGATAGTGTGACCCCAGCCTTTGACCCCGGCACTGTTCAAGCTGGCTTGGTCTACAGGAGTTCCAGGTCAGCTATGGCTAAAGACCCGGTCTCAACAAATAAATACCAGGTGAGCAGTATGCTCAACTCCTACACTCAGGAGGTAGGAGTAGGATCAGGAGTTCAAGGATAGTCTTGGTACATACAATGGGAGTTAAGCTATTGAGACTCTCTCAAAACCCCAAAACCACAGCAGCTCACAACTGTAATCCCAGTTCTGGCACCTTCATACATGCAGGCAAAACACCAATGCATATAAAAATAAATAAATCTAAACTCTATGCTAGTGCATTTACTTTATGCATACAGGAACATTTCAGTACAATGAGCAAAACCTCACACCTACAACATACTTTGAGGTGTTACTGGACTTTGAGCTGTACTTCCCCTCTATACCCTCTCATTACTGGGAGAGGATCCAAAATTTAATGCCGGTATGCACAGAATATTAGTTACTCCTCAAGTCTGAAAACCCTCCTTGAGCTATTATTCTCTATTGCATCATACTGCATGAAAGTCCTCCAAATCAGCTGCAGGTACGGCCACCAACTAACAAAACTCCTAAATAACACCCCCAAACACTAACATGTACCATATCCAAATCAGATTTTCACAGAACTTGACAACAAAATCCTAATCTGCAGCTACAGAACACTCTTCTTTAATTAGCACGGTTGTAAGTATACTGACCTTTGGCCCCATGGTAACAGCTACAGCATCGGCTAGAAGGTCTACACCTTGAAGCATTAAGGCTCGAGCATCCGCACCGAATTTTACATCTTTGGCATAGGCCCGAGTGAGATGAGGAGCCAGTGCCCGGGACACTGGTCTCATCTGGCGAAGGACTGTGGGTAGTCGAAGCATTTCTGGGGGAGGGGAAAAAAAGAAAAAGAAAAAGCAAAGGATCATTACTAGCTAAGGACAAACTTGTCCACCTGTGCTTCAGAACATGGAGACTAGCTCCGCCGTCCTCTGCTAACCGCCACGCCTGGGCCACCCACGGCGCTGTGGCTCCAGGACATCACTTGCTCGTAAAGGATTGAAGAGGCCGCCCCCAGGCCTGACCTACAGCACGGGCACAAAGCACTTCCCCATGGCCACCGGCTCCTATGCCATCGCGGGTTAATCTTTCACTGCCAAAGCGGCCTTGGGAGCAGATCCACTCCGAAAGTGTCCGGGAGAGGGAAAGAGAGGAAAAAAAAAAAAATCAAGCTGGCGTAAGCGAGGCAGGTTCCAAATGCAAGTGCATAGGGAACTGTGTAAGTATTCGTGACGGTGCAAAACCCCGCTGGAGAAAAAAGTGTCGCCAGGTGTCCACCCCGATCTACAGGGGCACAGCAGCTAGCAAGGCCGCAAAATAGTAATAATAATGATAATAATAATAGTAATAATAATACAGGAGCGCAGCTCAGCCCAGCCGCGCGGCCCCACGTGTCTTCCCGACCAAGGTCAAAGTGGAGGCGCCGGATCCCCGCAGCCGGAGGGGGGCGAGAAGGGACCGCGACCCCCCATTCCTCCAGCAGAGTCCTGCGGTGCGCCGGGCGCAGGCGGCCCGCCCCAGGGCCCCCACCCTAGCCCGTCCGTCCTCGCTCCCGCGCTTGG